AATCTGAGCCAAGCGCATAGGGTACCCATGAAAACCGTGTGATCAGCAACCACCAGACAACATCGCACTGAACAAACAGTAGAAAGAAAAATACTTATGAGAAGAGGGAGGGGTGAGCAGGGAGAAAAGCTCTACGAACACAGTCCGGCAGCGAAAAACACATGAAATGAATTGACATCGGCGGCAGAGCTGTAAACTACAAGAAGCCCTGCACAACTCCCTTCCACCCGGCCACCCTACAGACAACCCTGCGGGAAACTGTTGGCCTGCAATATTTTCTCGCGTTTAATTTAGCCTAACTTACATTTATCCACATTAAGGTCTTCATGCAAAATTAGCGTAAAAACCTACCTCCTCCCTCGATCGTGTTGTTAAAAACTTTGTCCATCCTAGAATGAAAGAAAGAAGACAAACATGTCAACACAGACTACAAAAGAATATTAATGTGAAAAACACCAATCCCGGTAGTGATATTTTAGAAATCCTTCGGAATTCGCCGGCTGATAATCAATGTCTGCAAACTTATTTCTCTTACTGGGCGCACGGCCTATCCATTCCCATGCTTGAGGTACGCCTGAAAATTCAAACTGATGACGTCGAACTAAAGAGATCGGTGATTGGTTGTTGCCACCTGTAGTGGTCAATCAAAGACGCTAAACAATACACAAGCTGTCAAGCGGCGCGGAATGGAACGAGCGACAAGAGAATGGATGGTTATGTCAGCTCGCATTCACGCAGTATAACTGAGTACTGACTTACTTGGCCTGTAGATTCTTCACTCTTGCTAACATCTCTACATGCCCTGCTGAGTATTGCTCTATCACATCCTTAACATCGTAAGGTCTTCTTGCTTCCTGCAAAAACAGTAAATAAATTCAAGATATGAAAGGAGTTGTATTTTGTTATTTAATTACCTTAGCGTGGCTGAGTGGTTAGGGCGCCGGACTTGAAAGCGGAGGTCGCGGGTTCAAGTCCCGCTCTGACCACTAAGCCGGAGTTATTTCTCGATAGATTCTGGTTCAGCTCCTCGGTCACGCTTGTAAATAGCCAAGTTCTTTCTTTCAGTTTAAGTGGCATGCCTGTGAACTATCTACGTGTAAATTCAACATTTGGCGATTATGCACCACTGTATCGAGTGAGGTAGAAAACTCGTTTATTCCGCATGCGCAATTATAAAGAAAAGTTCTCTCACCTTGAATTTTCTAATCGCTACCCTGAGCTTTAAGATACGAATGAGACGAATGGCCAGTTTTTGAGCATTAGTCAACCTGTGAAATACAAGCAGTAAGTTAATTTAGAGTAAAATTTGTATGAGTTAAACGTATGACGGCACAAAAGAGACAAGTGGTTGAGGTGAAATTCCTCGCAGTTCGGAATTTGACAAAACCTCATTTAACAATTAGCAACTCATTCAGCAGTCTTGTGTAACAAGAGTTCTCATCGATCAATGATTTTTTCCCTTTCTCTTAGAGTTTTTCCACAGACTTCCCAGAAAACTGAGGATAACTTTAAAAAATAAATCGTCTGAACGACAGACCTTTGTTGCAGCAGTACGACAAAAAAAGGATTGCTATACATTTTTGAAGAAAGTTTACATGTAGTTCAGGTAGCTAATATTCTGTACCGTTTATGTGACGGCTAAAACAGTTTTTAATAAAGGGGTTCATTCAGCCGAATTCACGATGACAGTGATAACACTGAAATTAAGATGAAGGAAAAACATTGGGGATTGAAGGACAAGTCATTAAATCAGTAAAGATCGTGGGGAGCGAGTCGTTCAGTCACGGTATTTTGAGTTATTCTGTCCACGAAAAAAAGTACCTTTTCAGGGAAGGAAACCTCAAAATAATAGTTCACTAAGATAGAAAAACACCAAAGAGATAATAATAAACCATAAAGGAACAAGGATAGTTGAGGATGGAGAAAACAAACATGGATTACAAACGACGAACTTGAAAAAATTTAGGCTAAACTTTTCAGTTAATCGAATGGCCGATTGTGAAACTTTTACTCATGACAAAAACAATTTAATAATCACAACTTACGCAATGCAAGGTCTCTCCCCGTCTTGCTGTAAAGCTAACAGTGCGTTTTCATCTGCAAATAATGCATCGAAGGTAACTACGTTAGTATAAAATACTCACTAAAGCAACGCCTTCCAGAATAACTTTAGAAAACACATCTCCCTCTTCCCGCGGCTCAGTACTTTCCCGCTCGAGAAACGTCTGAAGACTGGGCCCGAAATCTTCAATTCTGATAACGTGGCTCTACAGAGGTCCATGTGGCGTCTCTGATTGGTTAATGCTCGATTTTGAATTTTCCCGCGCTAATAACAACCAATCACTATACGTAACTTTGTTGAGTACGTCATCCGCGAGTCTTACTCGAGCGGAGGAAAGTGCTAAGCCTACAAACAGAAAAACCTTCTTATGTAGGCTCTGCGAACTATTTATTACAGAAACCAACACAAGTCCTGTTCATATTTTCGAATAATTGAAAATTGCTGCAGGCTTATTTACTTATAAACTAACTTCTGTGCTTTGTACAATGTTTGTAAAGACCTAAAGTTGCCTACTTACTAAGCGGCGAGAATTACAAAGTTTTACGTTTTTCATTATACAATTTTGTAGCTTATTACATTTAACAAATATTAAAACTGAATATCAAATTCTCTCAGGTTATTAAGCAATTAATTATCCTTTTTTGTGACTTTTTAAAGTTAAAACTAAGCAATTACTTCCACTTTAATTTAGTCATTATATTTGTTATCTCCATAAAATTTGCAATGACAAAGAATCTCACGCTGGCCAGTTTTACAAGTAAGAATAAAGGTTGACTATTAAACGTTAACTTAATAAGTTTACAAAATTAGCTGAAATGCCTTCATTCTATATTTGTAATTAATTCAAGTTTAGAACTTTCAAGGTTGTTGATGCTCCCCACTTTCACTTACCACCCCAAAGCGAGGTTGAATTAGCTCGTTTTCTTGGATGCACAATAGAACAGTGAATATTACTGGATGAGAACATCGTCACAAGGGCGTCACTACTGCTGCACGAGCCATACCTAGGTCGACCGTCTGCTAAAGACAGAATTATCTCACACGTTTATTTACCTGCAGGTTTACAATACTACATTTCCTCAATTAAAACCCACGGGTGGTTATTTCAAAAATTCACATCTTCCCTTCCAGACTTTCGCAAAAAAAAGTTTAAGAAATAAATTTGAAAGGAAGTCACATCAGCGCTAGTTAGTTTTCATACAGGTCCTCTATCAGGGTCAAAATGAAATTTGAGACTTTTACTTGAAACAATTTATTTTAGAGCAATTTAAAAACTCTATAGAATTTCTTCATTCTTCAAACTCATAATTACAGTTATGGTAAAGGAAACTCGGGGGGGGGGGGAGGGTTATATTTCAATTTTACGCCTCTAACGCGAAATTATCAGAGGGGCTTTATATTGAGGAAATACAGTGTTAACTTAAAAGTGCCTTGATTAATTAAAGTCATGTTTAAAAAATCTAAGACCTTGTATCAACATTCAACATGGTTACCATTCATAGTCATAATTTAATATTGAAGTATTATTATTATTACAGCATTGTCATTTCATTATTAGTGTGCCTTTTTTAACACAATTCGCAATTCGATTTTGTTAACTGGAATTTACGCCATTAGGTTAACAGGAATTATTTCTTAGAGAAAAAGAACTGTATAAAAAAATATATATTTCATAAATCAGTGACTTTAAAGTCCTGCAACACAATGTTTACAGCAATATGACTTGCGGTAAGAAATAACACAAGTAACAACATTTTATCTTACACAGATTAACATCACTTGAGACATATTAACAAAACTTAAGAGCCACGAAGAAATAAACAGTACAGCATTTTGTTTGGAGTTGGTCAAACTTCCTCCTATAAATTGAATAACATTTACTTTGACACGATTATAAATCTCTTGATTTAATGGAAAACATTATTAATATCTCTGCCTACAGAAATCTGGTCTAACTATACAGGGTTATTTTGGACTGCTATCAACTGCTACTATAAACAACTGTCGTAATAAATGTTTTAATAAAGTCCATGACTATGATGAGAGATCAAGATTCCTTTGAACAGATTCTTACGGCGTAAGTTCCTGAGTTTTCCAGGAACTTGAAAATGTTTTCCAAACTTTTTTTCCGACTTGATCTAACCCTATTATTAGTATTTGTACCACTGAGCAGTAACTATCACAGTACAGCCAAAAGTTTTGTGCAAGTTATGGGTGCCTAAGAACACTTTTTGTTCTAACTGTTACTCCTTGCAAATACCAAAGATTGTGTAAGTGCTTAACATCAGAGGTGCAAGGTTACTGACAAAACAAAAGTAAAGAACACAATATGAGATATAATTAATTAGTATCAACATGTGTAATAACTCAATATTGTTGTTATTATCATATGTTAACTCTTCCATTGCAAATCCCTGATTGCAAGCGACTGCGTCTAGTCTATTAATTATCCAGTGGACAGTTATTTAACCAGTCGATAGCAACATTATCCACGACTCAGGTCAGACAGTTTGAGAGGAAAGAGGCTTAAACACTAGTAGGTTTTTTCAAATGGCAATGTTTTAAATAGTGATACAAAATATTGACATAAAACTCACATTTAAACCATAAAAGGAAACAATCTGATGCATAACAGTCATTTCAAATTGTAAGACTTATTTCATTGAAAACAGAACTAACAAAAAGCATTGAAAGCTCTGCTGTTCTCTTAACATGACGATATCAAACAGACTTGTCACAAAGTGTTGAAGTAGATGGAGTAGGACCTGATTTTGCCTTCTTTTTCTCTTGAATCAGAAGAATTACACAGCAGAGTAGATCATGAAGGTGGTAGATGGTCATAGGTGATTTTCGTCTCCAGCCAACCATTTTTGATAATGTAACTCTGATGGCACAATGTTCTAAAAATACCCACATCACTTCATTCTTGGCTTAATTCTTTTCTTGAAATGTCTTATTAACACCAACACAGTGCAGCGGCTGTTATCTTTCAAAATGTTGTCAATATATTTTCAGCTAATTCCTAGAACTGTTTACCTCAAAACATTCCTTTCTAACTTAATGCCACTGTCTTAACCTATATGTAAGCTGTTTCTGTTGATGTTCTCCTGGTTGTTTGCCAGTCTATTTTCAAACAGTATATAATAATTGTGTTGTATGTTCATAAATGCTTACAATGAGTAAATTCTTTGCCTTCCTCTCTTAAAAAAAAAAAACGGTTTTTCACTGCAAAATTTTGAGCTCAGAATTTCAGACAATGCCATTTTAAAACCCACCACTGTGTACTGTAAGTCTCTTTTTCAATCACAAGCATTGAAAGAGTTAAATATGATTCATGTGATGTGCTGGGGTTAGATTTCTCAAAACCCATCAACATGCAACAGTGGTTTCCCTCTGCTGTGATGAGTATTAAAGTAATGACATCTCACCAAAATAATAATCATGATCTAATGTGCTTGCGGTGCTAGTCTTTCTGTCAAAAATGCCTGTCAAAAGGGACTCAGATCTACTGCTTCGCACATCATATGATTCCCGTCTCAAACCCTTCTGCTTTGACCACATTGAACGTTTCCTTTTACGCTGTGTATCTGACAGCTGAGGACTGTCATCTTCCATTGCCGTACCTGTGGTCCCTGTTTTCTCCATGACAGTTTTCAACAGGTGTTGTTGACGATTATAGTAGATGGATGGTAGCCATGTTGCTACCGACTTCGAGTCAAGATCAGCACAGAACAAGCGCCAGTATGACTTCAGGAATGTACATGAAAACAAAATAATAAAGTCAGTCCCCCACACTCAATCAAGACCATGGATTTTAACTTCCCACCCAAAACGGGGATGTTTTTGGCACGTGACTTGGTCAACCCAAGCTCACATGACAAATAGATTCCTGACATTTCTTCACTTGAGAAAGATGCTGTGACAGCGTCAAAAGCTTGTGACTGCTAAACTTGTTGACTCTGTTTTGATATCTCGTTTCTTATTATGTCTGCCACAGAGTCGGCAAACAATATCTGTAATCAAAAAGAGTAATAGCAAACTTAAAGAAGCTCAGTTAAGCTTTAAAACATCATAATAAAACAGCTTCAAAACAAGGAAAGCAAGAGGGGGGCTTAATTATCTGGAGGGGCTTTTAACAGGAGGAATTTTTTTGGTTTACAAGTAGATGGCCCTGTGGGGGGGGGGGGGGGGGGGGGGGGGGGGCCTCTGGCCCCCAGAGCCGTCTACTTTCAAAATATCTCTGCCTACTTCAAATCTTATTGACAGCCCTGCCAATCCCCCGTAATCAATGTTGGAAAATGTCATGTTTTTCTCNGGGGGGGGGGGGGGGGGGGGAGCTAATATTAAAGTGGGGGGCTTATAAGCGGCAGTTTACAGTACTCCTTTGTAACATGCAAAACTAGACACCTACAGCCTTTTCTAAGAAAAAAAAGAAGAGTTGCAGTCTATATACATTGTACGTGTAGTTACCTGGAGGAGAATTGCTGCAGGCCTTCTTCTCCTGTGAAAGTGTTTCTGGCGCTGTTGTTGAGTGACTTTTAAAGCAAAGCCAGATCCTAAAATGCCCTAAATTGAGGAACATGAATTAATGCAGCATTTTGTTAAAAAGAGTTTTGTCAGCCACATGTAAGTTGAGATAATATTCCGCAACTGGCAATGGACTGCAACACCATGTGTGTTTATCACTTTGTTTCAGTTTTAACAAAATAAACTAAATTGTAAACTAAGATTGACATAATTTATTAAGTTGAAGAGAATATCACAAAACCTTTCATTTCATTGTCATTGACATTATCATTATTGTCATCATCCAGCCTTACTGAACCATTGACATACACGTAATCTTCTATTTCTATCTACCATTCAGGCTTGAGAAAAGTGTTATCCAGTCATGCGGGACAAGTAGATTTTCCTGCCAGGCAACCAACTTTTCATTCTCACTTGCCCAATGGGCAAGGGCCCAGGCCAGACTTCTGCCAATTACTTAAGTCAAAAAACGTACACTAAGATTTGCTCTGGGCAAGCAAATTTTGCAAGCTGCTCGTCCAAAAGGGGCCAAGCTTGAAATAATTTCTTTTAGCTCTGCTAACCATAATTTCAAGACCAACAGCAAACAATTATATCAAATGATCCTGAAAAAAAAATTCTTACCGCAGGCAGCGCAAAAAACGAGATTCCACAAAGAGCAAACAAGGCAGCACAACACTTGCCATACCATGTGACAGGCACAGCGTCACCATACCCAACTGTAGTAAGAGTGACCTAGAATGGAACCAAATAATAATTTATGTTCCCTCACCATAGGCCTGCAATGCGTGCAGAGAGCTAGATAATAAAGCTCTGAGAGAGATAATTTATGCTCCCTCATCATAAGCCTGCAATGCATGCAGAGAGCTAGATAATAAAGTTCTGAGGGAGATAATTATTATGGTAAGTCTTCACAGGCCGTGTGTTTCAAAACAGTGGGTGCTTACAGCCAGCTCCAGTTTCTCAACATGTTTTGGGAAAGGGATATTGAGGGCTGTAAGTATTACAACTATGCCTTATGACCACTCCATTACTACTGTACATATAATCAAGTTAGGCACTTTTTTGGCCTCCTTGTTAGAACCCATTAAACATGACCACAATTTCAGGTGTGCAAGGTGCAGGGGTCTAATGGTTAGGTTCAATACCCTGACCAGGGGTACGGTGTTTGTTTTTAGGCAAGACACTTTGTATGGGTTATTGACCAAGTGTGAGGTCAAGATGGCTGGATATTGGCCAAGTTCTTTTTTAGCGTGTTTATGGACCGAGACAGAGTCGAGGTCCATAAACTCACAAAAAAAAAGAACGAGGCCAATATCCAGCCATCTTGACCGCACAAGCTTGGTCAATAAAGGATTTATTATATGGCTTTCAGGGAAATTTTTCTTGCGGGACATGGCAGGTAGTCCCAAGCGGGCAAGATAGCCCCATCTTGCCCGCTCGGGTAGCTAATCACAGCGCAGGATTTGATTCATCTTGCCCGCTTAAAGAGCTAACCATATAATATACTCTCATAATGCCTATCTCCACCCACGTGTATACATGGGTACTGTCAAATATAATGTTAGGAGGTAACCCTGCAATTAGCTACGTGCAGTAGTTTCTGAAGGGGAAGTAAAAACACCCCTAGTCGCTTAATGCTATGGAAACTGGAATAAGCAGCAGCATGGACCACTTGGTTCAACAGACTTAATACCTTCAATCTACTTTTACAATGCTAGGACCCAAAGGTGACAGGGTTCTGCTGCACATGTAAACAGCAAAGGAAAGAAGATAGGAAGAAAGTAGTACAGACTGAAAGAAGGATTGATGGCGGAGGGAGGGAGGGAGGACGGATGGACAGACGGACAGACGGACGCAGGGAGGATGGACGGACAGATGGAGGGAGGGAGGGAAGGAGGACAGACAGACTGACAGACAGAGAGAGGCTGGATGGACAGACGGATGGAGGAATGGACAGATGGATGGAGGGGGGCGGTGTATTGCACTTATTAGTGAGTACTTACAATTCCCCACCAAAAGGAACTAGGCCAGCTTTCAAATTCACTATTTGAGTCTTTTTCAACCATGTAAAGTACAAAGGATGCACATATCAAACTGATAAAACCAAGGTAAAATGTTGTAAGAAGTTCCTGAAAAGAGTTAGACAGAAAAATGGCAGTGTTAATCATATAAAGTAAACTTGAAATAAATAAATATTATTACTAATTAAATATTTGTACAATTTATCACAATTTTGTACACAAATGTACAGAAGATCTTAAATTTGAACCGAAGAGAAAGATGTTTATGTAAAGACATGACTGATTATCACAGTTGTGTTCACAACTTATTATTGTGAAAATAACGTCTGAGAAAAATTCAGGCTTGAACGGGATTGGAACCCACAACCTCTGCAATACCAGTGCAAATGAAAGTGTCTATCACAATTTTGTGACAACTTTTTGTGGAATGTAAATATGAGAAGAGAAGATTCTGTTCTTTCATTCACACCTGACGATGGACATAGATCACAGAACCAAGGAGTTTCCATGTACCACCCTGCCTGTCAAATCTCAAAACTCTAAGTAAAGGAAGAAATCTCAACAACCTGAAAAGCAAATCAAAACAATTTCAAGAACATATATGTATCTATATACATGTACATTTTGGTGGACATATTTATTCCATTTTGATACCAACAGTCAACTCTTCATTTGTTACAATGCCAAATGAAAGCATAAATTTTACAAATTGTCTTACATTTTCTAGCACTTTTACACACTAATAGAATATTATGGGTGCACTAAAGATCAGCTTAGTAAACTCTTCAACTCTTTCATAATGTCATTATTTCTGTATGGATTAGAAGTGTGGGGCTCTGCCTATCAAGGCAAATATTTAGATCGGATTGACACTTTTTTCGGAGAGCCTATCGTTTTGGCTATACAAATAAGATCATTTTGATATCTGATGTTGTAAAGGATAGGGACAGTGATCTTTTCAAAAGAATCACAAGTGACACTGGCCATGTATTATATGACTTGCTCCCACCCAAACGTAACAGAGCTCTTAGAGAAAGGGGCCATGACTTCATGCTCCCTAAAGTAAAAACGGAACAATTCAAACGGGCTTTTGTAAATAGATGTCTCTTTAACTTTATTTCTTAAAATTTTTCTTGTAATACATATGATAGGTTTTTTTCTAGTTTAGCTTAGTTTGTTATTGATTGTAAAGCCACACATATATTGTGACTGATTTCTTAATAAAGACTTCTAATAAAGACTTCTAATAAAGACTTCTAATAAAGACTTCTACTAATAGAATTCATCAGATTATTCAGTAGAAAGCTTGCACCTTGAACAGCATAATAACTAATGCTACACAAAAGAACCTCTTGCATACACTACTCACAACCTTTGTCTAAACCGCTGTATACATGTACAATGTATGCTATATGTAGCTTAATTCTTTAGTTACCTAATTGGAGAGGTTGAAACATTACTAGCCAATGACACAGCAACAATTGAAGAAATAATAACTATCATATCTGTGAAGGAAAAACAAACAGTTTCTATGAAAAAGGCAGTTCTTGTTGATGTCATTATTTACAGCTTGGTTTTTGAAATCCTTCTGTAAGACTGCATGCACTCATTACTTTTTCATATAAAAAAATAAACTACATTACATGTACAAAAAATGTTAAAAAATAAAAAGATAATAAGTTTTAAAATGTATGTGAGCACTTCAAGCTACATGAGTTGTGTACTTCTATAAAAAGACAATAACAGTGTGTTCATTAGGTGCATGGAGAATTATTTTACATACAGGGTATTTATTATTTTTAAAATCCCAACAAATGAATGACTTTTCTTTCTCTTACTCTCAGTATCTTCTAACAGAAATTGAAAACCCTCACAGATGTCTGAGATCTAAAACAACTGTAGTTGAGGTACTTGTAGCGTTTCTTCCAAAACTTTCACTTGACAGGTTACTAGAAATTAAGATGATTTCCGCAGAACATTCAAACAATAATGGCAAAAATGAAGTTACCAAAAAACCTCATGGCATGGTATTATTTTGAATACAGTTATTGCGTTCGACGAAGTGGAATGCAAACCTAATTTTGACCTGTGGCTTTTCAGAGTTGGTTTCCCTGTGCACGGTTCTAAACTGAAAAAACCCACATTCCTGTAAGGACACCAAAATGGCCACCCCGCTTGATTTTTGTAGGGGCATGTCACGGCCAGTAAACTGGTACTGGTACCGTTTAATGCTATGTGATAAGACATGTGGCAAACATGTGAGTATGTAAGCAGGCCATGTGTGCTCGTCTTTCCGATGGATCTTTTGTTTGACTTCTTTCCATTCAGTCGCCGTACGCCTCGCTATTATGTGCTCTCAGCGTTAGATTTTGGCGAATTTAAAAACGCAATCTGAGGGAATTGTCCTTGTTTATTAACCCGACTTGGCTTTGGGATGACAACCGTGGGAACAGCTACATTTTGATTGCATTTGTTGATTAGTTCCAGTCGCGACAGATAGCTCAGTCTTTATCCNATATAATAAGCCGTTGACTGAAAGGTTGCTGTCTCTTTACCATAAGGATTACAAGGATTTGTTGACTGTTGATCTGTTCAGCGTTTATCTTCCGTCGGGTGTTGACATTGTAATTTGTTATATCGAGGTAGATTTTACATCTGGGCTTCCGGATTATGTTCATTATATCAAAGAATTTGTTATACTGAGGTTTGTTATATTGAGGTTCTACTCCATACATTTTACTGTAACTTTGGCCGGGACATAGAATATCGTTCGTTATATTGAGGACTTCGTTAAATCGAGGTTCGTTAAATCGAGGTTCGTTAAATCGAGGTTCTACTGTATTCCAAAAGTTACCGTGATACGAGTGTAGATTTTTAGTACATAATTTTTGCACTTATTGCTTGGACTTTGAGCAGAATCTGTCTTAAACATAGAATTTATGTTTTCAGAACATGCAAACTTTGGTTCATACCAAATTTGAAAGGAAACAGGTCAAAATTAAATCTACTTGAAATGATACAAAAACAGCTGCCACAATGAATATTTGATTATTTGTCTCAACTCATATTTGCACAGTTACTCAGTTGCCATGAATCATATTTTCATATTTACAGTTGTCTAGACGATAAAATTTTTATAAAGTCATTGTAATGAGGTGATCAAAGATTGCCAATAGACAACCAGATAACACGATGAAAAAGCTCTTAGTGAGAGCATTGTCTGAGTGGACGCTTACTTAAAAAATGTTTATCACATATGTATTGTACATGTTCATTCATTTAGACATATACAGTTAATACATGTATAGCCATGACATATAAATCAGCACCTGTCTAGAATGCAATTAAGTAGTTCTGATCGCAAAATATCACCATTTAGCAATTTCATAAAACAAGTGACTGAAGTAGATTGCTAGCTTTCAAACTACAAATTTAAGATGTCTGTCACTTGCATAAAAATTTCCAAAAATGTTGCTGTCCAGGCCAGAGAGTTGACTAAGATTTTTGTTACATGACTAAAAAATTAATTTTTAATTACCAGATAATTATATGTCTGTTAAGTTGTGGCTTAAGATTATAAATTAAATTCCATTTTGTTATATATTGTCTCATTTTCATTACCATAACCTAAAAAGAGGAAACTAAAATTAAAACCAAGCTGGGTTCAAAAAGATTAAAACCAAAATAAAGCTAAGCCACAACATAAAAATGCAGTAGTGACATCAAAGGAAATTGTTGTAAAATGTTTTCAAGACATACATCTACATGTGCATGACAACCTTTTTGCTGCTACAGTATAATAAGGAATTGGCTTCAAAATTTGAAACACAAACCACTTCATTGTGAAAAGTTCTCCTAATAATTATTATGAATTACACAATGCAGTGGTAATTATTAAGACTGAACAGTGAAATACACTTTCTGTTAGCTTTGTCTTTCTTTCACAACAGATGAAAACGTGACAAATAATATTAGGAAACGTACCTATAATGGAATAGAGCTTTACAGCAAACCACAATCTCCCTTTTAGTCCTACATATGCACTGCGACAGCCCGCTGCCCACAGTCGTACGATGTATTCTATCACAAATATTACTATTAAAATAACCTCCTGCAAAAGAGTTGGAAAACTCAAATTAATGTGACAACATTGACGAATTCCCCTTAAATAACAAGGCTACAGAATTTTTAAAGAAAACCTCCTCAAAAGGGACATACATGTAAATTTTTGGACGGTGGATACCTTCGGCACCAGCCACAAGTTAACAAGATGATAAAATTTTATTAATTTTGAGGAATAAAACATCAGTGCCTGGTACATGTATATGTTTGGAATTTTATACTCAATTGCTGATACAACTCAGTTTAGAGACAAGCTTCTCTCAGTCTATCTGAAGGAAAGGAATGAAAACTTTTACTTTTAACAAAACTCAAAAATACAATTATTTCCCTGCAATGTTTGGTTGCTTAAGGTTGTCGTTGTGGACAAAACATACAATCATGTAAATGAGGCATGACAAAACATTGAAAGGGGAAATGTCTTGGGTAAACAGGTAAAGTTTTGGAGTCAAATTATCGAAAGTGACTCAAGTTTTGTCCAAGATTCTAGCTTCTCCACGCCTCAGGTTTGGTGCAAACGTTACTAGTATTCACTAAAATTAGCAACACTCACCACTGCTAATATCGGTGTTTGTAAAATTTGTTCATAGTTTTTATCTGTAGTTTCTACTGTGCTCAACACAGTTAAAACTAGGCTTGCAATTACGAGGAAAAATCTGCAAATAGAAAAAAACAAATGAATCTTGCTGCTAAATGTTTAAATAGCACTACGAGAGGTGCTGTGGCCCAGTAGTCATTTGCATTTTATCATTTGCCTCAGGAAATTCAAGGTTATTTCTCCAAGCCAGGATTGTCATGTTGGGGGTGGCAAAACAGATTATGTGTGCTAAAGGCAACCGCAGTCAAGTGTCGATTGTCGATCGACATCTTGATTGACATCCCGACCAACACTTGATTGACATCTCCACTGATACTCAGTCAACACTCGACTAACATCTTGGTAGAAGGTCGCTCAAGAGTCAACAAATTTTCGAAGACATGCCATTGAGTTCCGATCGATACACACGAGTGCGATCAATACTCTGCCAACCAGGACCAACTGTCAATGGAGTGTCAGTTGAGATGTCATTCGAGTGTCAGTCTAGTTTCAACCAAGTATCGATCAAGATGTCAATCAAGTGTCAGTCAAGATGTAGTTGGAGTGTCCATGGAGGATATCAATCGACACTCAACCACGGATGCATTTAATACACATGATCCACAAAAACAATGAGTCACTCAAAATTTTTGTTGAAATGCACAGGTCTCAAAGTCTCATTTCTTTGGTGGTTACGAGCGTCTGGCAAGCTCAAAGTCTCTTGTCTTCTTGCAAAGTTTCGCATTTACCATTCACTGCCCCTAAATACTGTGTTCAGTCATTTTGGGTAGGACACGCTATAGCTGGACAAGTATATACCATACTTGTGCATCTACCCACCCGGACCCCAGTTGTTCAAGGAAAGATAATTGACACCATCCACCAAATCAATCACTATCCAGTGGATAATGTGGTTTGCCTTTTTGACACTCACATGTAACCACTGGACAGCGTTTTACAGCTATCCAATGTATCTTGTGGATTCATCTACCAACACTTTGAACAACTGGGTCCAGGGGTATTCTCGGTTTTCACCAGTCATGTGATCAAAACTAAAAATCGTAACCATTCAATAAATAAATTCAAGAATCTGGAATATGATAGATGATTGCTATATAAA